CTTGTTTTGAAAGCTCCTTGGTCTTCATGGTTGATTAGTCTTATCACTATCTGAGTACTGCCTGAAATTCAATATCTATCCATGAAAAGATTCAGGGACAGATGCATTTACTCTGAAGTCAAGTTAAACCATCTTGATTTAACACAGAGACTGCTTCACTAATTTTGTGGCCTTTCAAACTACTCTTCCACCTGAACTGATTTAAAGTGTTGTAGCAAAAGGTGTTGAATACTTATGCAATTGTGGAATAATTGTGGAAGGGACATCACGTATATTAAAAAGGAAAAAAACAGATAATTTATCACTGAAACAGGAGTTTACTGGAGACGTCCACTTTAACACTTCTCTTCCACTTAACCAGCATTTGAAGCTTTCATGGGAGGTATTGATATGTATATCCCTTCAAAGGAAACAGGCCCATATAGCACAGACATTTTTGTTTCATTTAGGGTTTAATACTGTAATGCTATGCCATAAATAAATAGGAAAGCGGAGCCAAGCTGACCATTGCAATCTGAGACTTAAAGAAAGAAAATACTTAGTTACACACACTTGGGTGGCCCAGTAGCTTTTAACATGTTTAATTCATTGAGGTTGAACTCAGTAAACAAAGGGTAATGGTGCATTTAATCTCTAGAAAGATAACCTTTTTCAAAATTATTTCCCATTTGTCACTTGCAAGGGCACGTTGCATCACAAGTTTCCAGTCCTATTAGCAAAGACGCAAAGCTCAGCCTTGTTAAATCTTTGATGGGCATCATTAAGCAGGCTATTTCACCACTTTGTCCAGATAATTCAGCAAGCTAAAAATAATTCAAGTAGGTAGCTGTGTCACCATGCTGTGCTTCTTTTCTTCTCTTTTCAGCATGGAATAAACCTTGACATGTTCCTTTGCAAGCTAAAAATAATGTGCAGTGTGCCAAATTATATCTAACACTTTTTCATGTCAATGGAGATGCTCAAATTCTGCTGCTATTATATGTGATTTCAGTTATTAATTATGTATGGTTACTACATAATTGTGTTATTTGTCAGGTGTTTATTTTGTCTTATTTTTGAAATACTGTTTGTGGAGCTCCGGTCTCCAAACACAAAAGAATACACCACAAATCCCAGGTTTACATATGTAATGCAATGTAATACTATAAATGGGTTTAGCTCTATCTCCAGAATGTGCTCTGCAATAACAAATTTACCTTCATAAAGGTCCTGACGAGATCCCAAGAATGGAACCAGTGTGTTTTCTCACACTTCCTCTTATATTGAAAACTCTTCAGAGGCTTGTGCCTGAATTGTTTGTGACAATGACACATAAGTAATTCTATCAGAAGAATTTATCTTGTTTTAATCTGATTTTAGACACAACAGTTCTGCTTCCATACGGTAACCCATTACACAGAAGTAATCCAGTTTTTCCTGAGCTGCCAATTCTAAAGATGCTGTTATTAATCTTCTTGATTAAGTATTTTTTTGCATTTTGTCCCAGCTTTGTTTAAATGATTATGTTGTATATTTTTAAGAAGTCTAACACCATATTAATTTTGCATTAGACAATGTAGAAAACGTACCCATACCTGATTTTGTTTCAAGTGTGCTCTGAAATGCTCAAGAACTGTCACATCTAGTGTAAAAACTATTCTTTAAAACTATAGGATAGAAAAAAACACATGTCCCTTCTGTTGCAAATGAGTCAAAATTTGCTCTTACGGTTTGGCGTGGAACATCTTGGTTAAAATTGCATTTTAGCAAGCTTTCAGACGGTGCCGGTCTGGGTGTGTCTAGTATGGGCTTACTTTATTCAAATGGAAAACTAAATCTAAATCTGATGTCTCATCTGGTTTGCTTACACTGTGGTGCTTTGATATTTTTGTCTCCCTCTCTTTCCCTTCTCACCAATAACACAATTGGAAAGAAAGTAATTTAGAAATGAAAACAAAATAATAGACCTGCACAAATCCTGTTGGTTACAGTGGTTATTGCGATAATAAGAGAAGAAACTCAAAGTCTTCAGGTGAAACTCAAGCTAGACCATTGACCATTTAATTGACCCACTCCTGCTCTAGAAGATAATACGTACTGTTATGAAGCCCAATCAGATGAAGCAACAATTTTGCTCCTTTTGAACCTACCTACCACAGACCATCAGCCTCAACTCCAGAAGAGAATCACCTTCCTCTCCAAATTACTACCCCACTTTTACAGTCATTTTTTTACAAAGTCTTTACTGCTTCTGCAAACCTGATGATGGAATGTACAATTTTCACTTGGCGAAAATAATTTATACAGCTACATCTAGAGTTTTAACAACCTAAAACAGATTTTTAAAATATATTTTTTTTCCATAAAGATGGAGTTTTTTTATAAAGACAGTGATATAAGAAATTCTGATAATCATTTTGGCTTATGTTTCTCAATGGAACAAGTAACGGTTAAGTCCACGCTGAAAATTAACAAGACATACAACATTTTGGCTGTTGAGCTTTTTTCAAGTTCTTCAGGTGATTCATTCAAGAATTTAGACAAAATGTTGTTTCTATTTGTACTCTTCACCGTGGAATTAACTTTTACTTGTTCCTTTACAGTCAACACTCTCCGACACAGTTCCCCACTCAACCTTACCGTTTGTTTCTCAATGTTCAATCATTTGTAATGACACATTTTCTTGAAGCAATTTCTTAAACTTTCTCCTGAAGTGAGCACTTTTGTCTCATACTTTGAGGTACACGCTCTGAAGTTGTAATGTAAAGTACCACAGAGCCAACAGAGTTTAGCAAGCAAGAGGTATGAACCTGTTGCATGGTTTTACATTGGAGACACTTGTCAGAGTTATATACCAGTAAAGTTGCCAATATGTACCTTTAATTCTGCTTGTTTTTAAGCACACTATGAAATTCCCTGATTAGGGTTTCTCTTATCAGAATTCAGACAGTATCTCAATGTTTGAAGAAATGTCCAAAAAAGCAATACAGGAATTTTAGAACTAGAACCCTGCTGACATGCTAACTCTTGCCCTGCCTCTTAAAATATAAGTATATAAAGGAATGACTTATAAAACCATGATTTAGAACCATGACATTTTAAAGCTTCCATTCCCCTCTGTGGGTCGAGTAGAAAATGTGCCTAGAATGAAAATTGGTAGACATGCGGTCGATTGTCTATTCACATCTCATAACCCCTTGAGCACAGCCGATGTTTGCAACTTGCTACCAAGGCAGCTGGATAATGAAAATATCCTTTAAAACCTTTGACAAATACCTTGGTGATGGGAGAAGCCACTGTGCCCTTGCCGTGACCTTGCTGATGCGTGAGATCTGAGCCTTCAGCTAATCAAGCATGTTGGCAGCTGTGTCTCGACAAAGTGGAAAATCGTAACACAGCGTTCCTCTGTGCACTCGGAGAGGCAGTGTGAAGGATCAGTTGACACCCAGTGCCAGCTGGACTTTTTTTCACATGACTGAGATGCTGTTTCCTTCATCTTCATCAGGCTTGTCAACTTCGGTTTTAAAATACTTCTACTTTTCCACCACCCTTGATATCAAAGTTTTAGTTGGCACCTTGTAGCATAATAGGTCCTGCAGCAACATCTTATTTGCTTTTAGGAAATAAGACTGATATTCCTGCAGGACTTTACATTACATTTGTGAATCACAAATATATTTCTTTTAGAATAAATATGGCATACTATGCTTCAAAAATGTAAACATTCCACCACAATCTTAGTCTGGATTCTTATATGAGGAATTATCTACAGGAATGCTATAGCAAATTTCACAATTCTATTTCTGAATCCATGCTATCAATTATTTGTTATTAGGGCAGAAACCCAGTGTCACCATCGTCATCCCTCCTCTAGAGGGCACTCTGACCCTTTTTTGACCCGGTGCTCCGGAAGCTCGGGGCTCTGCATTGGAAGACGGACGCCCGGAGGCCCGCCTAGCATCGAGTCGCCCCACGATCACGGCTTGAGGGCTTAGGCTTCCGATCGGCGTCCTGACCAGCTGAGTCTGGGGCTCGGAGCGCCTGGCCTCGTCACTCCATTTCCTTCTTCCATGTCCCTGTTCCTGTTTTTAATGGTTCTGTCTTGGATGGATTCCCTGGTTTTGGATTTCAGACTGTGCCCCAGATTTCCTACATTGGACTGTTTACTGGACTTGTTTGTCTGCGCTCCCCCCTTGCACATGGATTCCCTGTCGGCATCGCCCCCTGTTCGCCATCCCTTCCATTCCTCTCCTAACCTGTAGCCCCTTTTCCAGTCACTTCCAGATTATACCGTCTGCATAGGGTCCCATTACACCCAGTATTGCTCCCATTACACCCATTATTGCAATGTAGCATCTTGCTTATGAACAATGTTGTTTTAATCTTCTACTGGAAGGCCTTTTCTTCTCAGAATTCATCTGTTGAATATTCATTATTTTTCAGGATACCATTTGTCACTATTTGGTCAGATTGACATAAGTATGTATCCATATACCATTTAGGTATTTCCAAGACTACATAGACTATTCTCCTGAATGTACACATATGTGACTTATACCATCATTTAAAGAAAGCATATTTAAAATATGGTTAAATTCTTTAGACCAATACAATATATATTAGGATTTTTTCCTTTTTGTGTAAATGGAGTACAAAATCGCCAATTATCATTTTAATTTGAGGATCCAGTACTTAATCTCCAAAGATTAAATTGAATAAAATTGACCACCAAAACATGTCCTTTCTATATAGCATTGTTAAAAGATCTTCATTCTTCCTTTTAAATCAGCTGGTTGCTTTATTTTATCTTAAATAGAAATATATTTTACAGCCCAGTTATTCCTTTGTAATATAGACAAGGTGACTCTTAAAGGGTCCCTGTCATTTCAAATGATGGGAATGGCATGGGTTTCTACAGGTGATAACTGATAAATTGATTCAATTGTAGATCACAAACCTCTATAATGCATATGGAGCAGTTAGATTAAAGTGAGTCTCATACAGTATTTATTTTAATTTAATGAGATTGCATATGATTGTATAAAATAAGATTTTTAATCTTAATGACATTCAGTGATGAATACAAAGTGTAGATCCATGATAAAAGCAGAAGAGCAATTTAAATGAAAGAATACCAAAAGACATGCTTTGAGCTGGTAAAATGCATACTGTATATATGATTTGCTTGTACTTCACTAAAAATATTATTTGTACATCTCCTAAGATAAAGGTAGTCTTGCACAGAAAAAATGAATACAAGCTGCATCTAAGAAAATCAAACTCTGTGTATATAAGTAGACAAGATATAGTATATATTTTTTTCATATAAATTATAAAAATAAATGATTTCTGTTATTCTATACAGAATATTTAAAATGTCCATCCATTTGCATAATCAGATCAGGTCAGTGTTCTGGTTCCTTGTCATCATAAACCTATAGAAGAATAAGAAAAACATTGGTTAGTGTTCCAGAAACGACATGTACAGAGACATGAACTGTTTTAGAAAAATGTGATGACATATAACACATCGTCGCACCTCTGCCACATCACGTCAGAGGTGTAAGGATAAATCGAAACTGGACACATCAAAGCAGCTGCAGGAAAGTGATGTAACCAAGGCTCTAGACGTTTTCGAAGTTTGCCAGCTCATAAATCCATTTGTAAAAAAAAAAGAATGTTTCATTGCCAATGATGTTTTTACACTGTGCAACACTGGCTGAAATTCAGATCCAACCAGCAATGAAAAGCCACAGGCAAATGAGTTAAATAATCCTCCCTCTCCAACAGCTCTTTCCCCTGCGTCTCAGTGCTGCATCAGAATGAGTCAATGGAAACCAGTGTCTCACAGGGTCACACTTTCCAGTGTTTTAGGTTTCAATGCTAGTGCTTCACAGCTACTGTGTACATGCTTTGTGTCTATTTCAACACATATCTTCCATCAAGTCAGACAGTAGAATATGTCTTTTTGCTGTTTCAGCAGATCTGTGGAGTACATTACTTCAATACAGTGAGTAAGAGGATAAAATTAGGTGGTGAAGAACACAAATTAGACAACTTAATGAGGAATTTGGGGTGTAATCAAAAAATTAAAATTACTCAACAAACAAACATTTTAAATAAAATCAGAATTTAGTCAACACATTTCTCATATTTGTCTTAGAGGGCCTTTTTCTATCGGTTGACAACAAAACTGTATTGAATTTATATATTTATTAATGTAAGCAAAGTACAAACATAATGCTTAAACAATATGCATAATTTAATTTAAGATTGTCTAGAATTCTGGATCTATGACGCTTTCTGATATGGGAAGAAAGTGTGTACACTACATCTAAATTATAACTTATAATTGCATTCCCATGAAACTCCAAAGACTTGCATTAAAATTGAGAAGACTTTTTTTTTCTTTTTTCTTGAACCAACCTCCACCCCCCAACTTTGGAGGACTTCCTTATTTTTAATTTTAATTTTAATTGAGAAGACTTAAGTTGAATTGAGTCCAAAGACTTGTACTGTTTGAGAAACTTTGAATTTGTGATTTTCAATGGACAGGTGACACAAAATTAATTGATAAAGTAGAGTTATTGTACTTTGTTACTTGTTACCCTTTTAAATAGTTTCTTAAACCATTTTCTGCATATTGAGCTCTGAAATGTAACAATCTGAAGCAACAACTGCAAACAGTCCTCAGGTTACATAAGACTTTGGTTCTGGAAACTGTCAGCTTTTACTTACTTTGGATTTCACTCTTGAGTCTTGATGATTTTAAATTTCTATAGCTCAAATAGTGTTCGGTTTTTAACACTTCGCTTACATCCGAAGAAGGCTCCACTGCCGAAACGTTGTGTTCTCTTTCTGCTCTTCTCAGCATGGAATAAACCCATTACTTGTTCCTTGTTAGATTGTTAACATTTTTAAAATAACTTAGTTCATAATTACATGAGAAAAAGGACATGAGAAAAATCCCCTAGATAGAAGGGTGACATTCTTTAATACACATTTTTGTCTTGCTCTTATGGAATAATGCAATGTCAGTGACTGTTATGACTGTTACCATCACCACCACTGCTATAAATGCTTTTGCTAGTTAAATACTACTGTAACTATTATTGTGCTAATAAGAATAACAATAAAGACATTCACCTGAAAACACAGATCTTTTAGTGGCATCCCGAACTCCAGTCTGGCTACCTGTAAGAAGAAATATTTCTTCAAATTATTTTTGCACAGTCTGTCAAAAACTAAACATAGCCCAGCATTTTGTCATCTCAGTTTCAGAAGCGTGGCAAACCATATTAAGCAGTAATATATGTGTTCGCATCAGACATGTCAAGCAGAACTGGTAAAGAAATAGTAAAATGTTTTTTAATGGGAAAATTTGTCATTGCCAGACATTAAAATTCAGTAGCTACACACTGTATTTCAGCCAGCACAAATGGATCCTCGTGTTGGGGGTTATTTTAAACAAGAAACCTACTATGAGGCAAATTTGTCATAGTACATTGCCCACATTAGGCAATATCTATTAATGTCCTATGGTGAGTGCTTGATTCATGCATTTATAACATCAAGGCTTGAACTCTGCAACTCTTAACTCTACAGGCTCCTTTACAGATCTTCTCAGGAAGTTGCAATACATCCAGAACTCTGCAGCTAGACAACATAATTTCCCACTGCGTAGGTGTGGCTTTGATGTCTACAAAGTTCAGGTGATTAAAACTCATATGGAGGGTAACTTATGATGTCTTTCATATCTTGATACAGTTCCTGGTTCTTTTACTCTTGCTGAAGCACAGCTGACAAGTGACATTAATTGCTCATTCCCAATTAACGTGTTTTTCATCTCTGCAGCTGGCTGCTCTAGCCTGCAATGTTTATCACTGTGCTTTTGTTGTCTTCTCTACTGTTTAACAAAAGACATCCTGACAATTTGTCTTTTCACATCGAAACTGCTGTGTAATTTGCACACTAGTGGCATTCTGAACATTTGAACTCGCCCTAATCACCGTTTGTAGGAAATAATAAACAACTAAACACTACCTTGTTTTGTTAACTAAGATCTAGAGACAGCTTAGCAACTAACAATTAAGGTTTAAATGCATGTACAGAGAGAAAAAGAAGAGTAAACACATTTAAAAGCCCTCCTTCCTTGAAAAAAACATGCAGTACAGCAGCAAATTGTTCACCACATGGCTTTGGTTATGGTAAGCTTTCTCCAAGTGCCAGATAGTCTACACCCTTTGGACACTTTTCACCACATTTCTGTTCTTTTTAAAAAAAAAAAAATCTTTCCCTGCTTGGCAATTTTCATTACCTGTCACATTAAGAATTAACACCATATAACAGGTGGTATTAGTATTAATATAAATAACACCTTTCATGCTAAAAGTAGCTCCAGGCATTTCCACAGAAAGTATTCTTAAAAAGAGGAAAATACAATTTGACATACTCAACAAAAAAAAAAAGCCTAAATAAATGATTAGCAATGAAATTACAAAGGCTTACAAAAATTAGTTGGGGAAAGTATGATTTAAGTCTTGATTACGGCGAGGTGGCAGAGTCTTAGTGCATTATAAAAATAAGCAGTCTCTTCTCCTCTTTTATACATTGTGCATGGGTTTTGGAAGTTGTCCACTATCAGCTGATAACAAGTCTTCACCCTTGTTAGCTCTTACTGTCTTAAGAATTCACCAGATGATGGATTGTTCACACACCAATAGGGAATGTGAGCTGGGTTTAGACTGTCATGAGACAGGGGGGTTTTACTCTCCTCAGCACAGGGGGACTTGCAGGTCCAGGCATCTGTGCATTGCCAAAATCATTGATGCAAAGCTACCATCTGTGGGGTTATAACTGAACACCTTGAAGTCAGAATCCCCCATAAGAGGTATCACTTAAAGATGTAAAATGGCAGTTTCCATCAGTACAACACCTATCTGAAAGGTATGTGTTTTCATTCTAACTTATCACACATTGGTTGGTACCTGTAAAATTAACATGAGAGGATGTAGTTAACATTTTGAACATTTGGTCCATACTGTATGTGGATTGGTTTTCTAGGCTGGGCCTAGAAAACAGGCCCTTTATTCAAAATCCCTTAAGCTTCAACCTGTCGTCTGCTTTGCGTTATTTAGTTCCGACCTCACACTGTGCTCTGGACTCTGATTATGCACTTAAGCAACTTTATGGTACTGAACATAATTTTCCTTAGATTATAACCAGACTCAACATCCACCAGGAGCACCAAAATATATGGAAATTTATTACACTTGACTAAAACAAGAATGTAGCCTTAATTGCAGTTTTCTTTAAATGTTATAAAATGCTTAATTGATGAACAATAAAAGATTATTAGTACTGTAGCTTCAGACCCTAGACGTTTAAGCAGGTACTTGGAAACGAGCCATTAAACAGCCATGATGTCAAAACCTTAACAGCTGGTTAATAAATACCCATCTGGGACTAGGCCTGGACTTCTAACTGGGGCCTTGATGGTATGAAGAGCATTGCAGCTTAACTGGTGAGAATGCTGCAGTAGACAGGACCCTAACAACCCAAAAACCTGAAACACACCATTATGCAAATATAAATTACAGAGTCATATTGGTAATTCTCACTAAATGGAGGAAGGGGTCAATATAAACAGATAAAAGGAAAAAGAATGAAAAAAGATATCAGTTTCACTTGGATACATAAATGTATAAATATTAGCAGGAATCACATTATGTCCAATATTTAAATGAGAAATCATAATTATTTTCTTGATTGGAGTTTTCCCTATGTTTCTGCATATTTCCATTACACTGCCTGTAGTAAAGCATTTACATACATCTCAATAAATAATTTTTTGTATTATTTTGAATGTGTTAAGGGCACTGAAAGCATTATTTCAGTTATTTTCACCACCAGACATTTTAATAGCACAATAAAGGGTGTAGGGTTAAATATATCAAAGAAAATTGCAGAAAGGAAACATCTTATTTGGATTTATTTAAAAAGAATTACATTCTTCTGAACATGATCAAAAGATATTAAATGAATATAATCACAAAATAACGAAAACAATTGTTTACTCAACTGTAATTTGATATTATAACAAGTATGAAATATATATTTATTTTAATAGAGCTGTAATTTTGCTGGGCTTGTGAGGAGCAATTGTCTTTTTTTGTTCAAACTCAGAATTTGCATTTAAGGCACAATTATGGTAAACATCTGGGACTTCCTGGCACTGAAATGTTAATACTGAAATATTAAATGCTGAACTTTTCTATTTTTCCTTGAATTTAATTGACTCATTAAACTGAAACCTGCTTAACCAACAATTTAACATCACAACTAATACTTAAAAGGGGATTTTAACTGCTAAAAATAGTTTAATGGGATAAAATCTGAATTTTGCTTAAATGCCCAAATACAGAGCTGTCATTTGTACACTCTAAAGGTGTGAATCTAATATTAACTAAGGATGCATTGAGCTTTATTTTCCCAAATTCAAACCACAAAAGGGGCTGTGCTGGGGGAAGCAGGGTTTACTTTCATCTTGGTTGGGGTTAGTGGTTACCCCACTGTGGCAGCCTCTAAAACAACAGGAAATGACTGCGGATCTTTTTGCTCTTAAGGCGTACTTGGCTACCGAACAGAAACAAGTACTGGCACGCGATGTCAGGAAAGCCAGTACCAACACTACCCCTGGACCTTGCTGAACAAGTCAGCCTGCTGTGAAGTCAAAGCCTCCATTTCCATTTCTCATTACATGATGTGGTTTTCAACTAGAAGGCTGCACTGCTTAAGCATCAAACTCAAGATCTACAATTAAGCCCCCGAGGAATATTAGACATGCCACCATGTTATCTGGGGAAATGACAAGCAAAACATATTTTTGAGTAACAGAAAGTAGACCTCCACCAACAGACCAATAAAATAATGGCTACAGTCACACGGTTAAATTGCACACACAATCTCAAAATGAAAAGAAGTACGTCTGCAGGGCACAAACTTAAACATGACGAATTGCTGCACATTTTAATGCAAATTTTTTGCTGAATCTAGCCAACTAAAAAGATAAAACAGTGAATGTGGCATGTGCAAAAGGTTGGCCACCACATCATTCAGTACTTAGTAACACCTCCTTTGGCAGAAATCACAGCTTCCAAACTTTTTATGTAGCCAGCTAAGTGTCTTACTTTTCTTGGCTTTAGGATTTTTCCCACTCTTTCTTGCAGAAGTCTTCTAGCTCAGAAATATTCTTAGGTCTACTTGCATGTTTGAGATCTCCCCATAGATTTTCAATAATATACAAGTCTTGAGACTGTGAAGGCCATTCCAAAACCTTAAACTTTCATTCCTGTATGTACTTCATGGTTGAATTTGAGCTATGTTTTGGATCATTGTCTTGCTGAAATATCCAGCCTCTTTTCAGCTTCAATTTCTTCACTGACTCTGGGACATTAGCTTCTAGGTTTTGGTGATATTTAGTTGAATCCATTCTTCCTTCCATCCATACAATATTTCAACCCCAAAGCATAATAGATCTACCCCCATTCTTAACAGCTGGCAAGGTGTTCTTTTCTTCAAATGCTTCACCTGTTTTGTTTCCAAATGTATCTTCTGGGGTTGTGGCCAAAAAGTTCAATTTTTGTTTCATCAACACTTTGTTCCAAAAAATGTCTGGCTTATCTACTGTATGTATTGTTTTGCATACTTCAGACGTTGCCTTTTGTGATGAGGTTGTAGGAAAGGCTTCCTTCTGACAGCGCTTCCATGCAGATTATTTTTGTGTAAGCAACGCTGTACTGTGGACCGTGGATGACTACTCCAGTGTCAGTTAAACCTGTCTGAAGATCCTTTGCAGTGATATGTGGGTTCTCCCTTGCATATCTGACCAGTTTCTGAGCAGCTCTATCAACGTTTTTTTTCTGGGTCTTCCAGATCTTGCCTTGACTTCAACAGTTCCCCTTAACTTCCATTTCTTCGTGATGTTTCTGACAGTGGAAATTCCAAGCTGGAAGCGTTTAAATATCTCTTTATAGCCTTCCCCTGCTTTGTAAGAGTCAATTAACTAAAGTCCTTATTTAGCTGCTTAGAGGAGCCCATGGTTGTTGAGAGTAGCCACAACTTCCTGAGAGGTTAGAAGGATCAGAGTATTTATTCAACTCTGGAATTATTTTCACCTGGCTTAATGTAAGGCC